GCTCTCTGGCGCTCGTGGATCTGCTGGTGGCGCCGAAGGTGCGTCCCGCGGGTGAAGGACTTCTTGCACTCGTTGCAGTGATGCGGCCTGTCCCGGGCGTGAGTCTTCAGGTGCCTCCGAAGGGAAAAGGGGCAGGAGAGGATCTTCTTGCAGATGCTGCACTTCAGCACCGGCTTCTCGTGAGTCCGGCGCCGCTGGCCCGGGGCGAACTGAGCGTTGGGAAGGCTCCTGGCGTCGGGCTCGCTCTTCACCTGGCCCAGCCAGGGCTCCCGGTGCTCCAGGCCGGGGGCAGCCCCGTAGAGAGCCCCGCAGAGCTTCTTCCTGGGCCGGATGCGCAGCTCCGGGTGCACGTTGCCCCACACCTTGGCGCCGAAGGCCCGGCCGTCGGCATGGATGCTCTGGTGCAGGTCCAGGCGGCTCTTGTCGGCGAAGCTGATCTCGCACACGGCGCACTCGTAGGGCCCCTCCTTGGCGTGGCTGCGCTGGTGGATGATGAGGTTGATCTTGAGGCGGAAGCGCTTCCCGCACTCGGTGCAGGGGTGCGACCACTCGCGCACGTAGCCGCGCGGGGACGTCCCTGTGAGCAGGCTGCCGCTGGGGCACCGGCTCGGCTTCTTCTTGCTCTTGGCCTTCGCCTCCTCCTTCTTGGAGCATTTCTGCATCTTCAGGTCACGAGAGGACGTGGAAACCTTGGGCAGCGCCTCGGGCTCCTCCTCCTTCACCTCCACGTCGTGGGGAGCAGCAGCCTCGTTGTTGGGGGCCAAGCCCCCCTCTGCAAGAGAACCACGGTGGAGCTGTCACCGTCTGCGCTCCCGGGTGACTTGGAGCCACCGCCACAGGACGCAGCAGGAGACGCGGCCCCGCGGAGCTGTCCGCGCTCCCGGGCTCCCCGCGTGTCCCTCGTGAGATGCCGCAGGTTAAGGGCAATCCCTAAGGCGGGCCGTGTGTCTCTGCGATGACTCCCCACTGCGTGGCCACCTCCTGTCACCCTGTCACCACGCGCGGGGCTGCTCACCGGCGCCGACCTCGGCGGGGGCCTCCTCCGCCTCCGGTTGCTGCTCCCTGCCCGGCGGCGCGTCCTGAGCGCTCCGGGACGTCACGTTCATCACCAGGATGGGCAGGCCTGGTGGCAGAGGAGACAAGAGCAGGTTAAAACACCCAGAAGGAGCCCGCGGAGCTGCTCGCATCCCCCTGCCCTGGGAAAGGCAGGGAAAGGGCTGATTTTGCTCTGAAGGAAAACGCGTGCGGTGCTGGCAGGGACAGGAGGTCCCAACACAGACAGGTCTGCAAGGACAGGCACGGAGACGCCACACGTTCCACCTCCTCAGAGCACCCTCAGCTCTCGCTGTGCTCCAGCCCTTCCGCCCCTCTGCTCACCTGCATCAGCTTCCATGGGGCCTTCATCTCCTCCCAGTGCCTCCTCCTCCTCCTCGCCGTCCGTCTCCGCAGGTGCCTGCGGGGGCTCCGGCCTCTCCTGGCTCCGCGGGGTGTCCTGTCCCTGCGGGGGCTCCTTGCTGCCCGCGGCGCAGGGCTCCTCATCCCGCTCCGGTGGGGCCGGGACGTCCGGCTTGGACACGGCGGCGTCTGTGCACGGGACAGGGAGCCCTTCTAGCCTGATTCCTTGGGAACCGGCCGGAATTCTGCTCTGCTGAACTCTAATCCAATCTGTCTTTCCCCACGCGATGCACACCCGGGTGGTGACAGCCACAACGGGGGTGGCGCCCGCTTGTCCCTACAGCAGGACTCACACCCAGGGGCAGCTGTAGCTCAAGCACAGGGAAAATCCAAACAACAAAATGTGCCTCGAAACCCCGAAGGAGACCAAGGGGCTTCGTCCCTGCGTGGTACCTTTCTCCTCTTCCCCTCACACAGGTGGTTCCCAACCCTCCCGTCTGCTTTTCTCCATGGGTTCAGCTGCTCCAACACGAGCCTTCCTCTCGGAAGGAAGCTCCAGTCCACAGAGCCAAGGGAGGCTCCCAGTGTTCACTTCTCCCAGTGCAGCACTGCCGGGAGATTCCTCGGAGGGCCGGGATGGGAGGAGCGCCGGGAAGCGCGGCCCCGTGGTGCCCACGCGACTCACCCGTGTCGGCCTCCATGGGGCCTTCATCTCCTCTCGAGGCCGCCTCCTCCTCCTCACCGTCCGTCTCCGCTGGCGCCTCCTGCCCCTGCGGGGGCTCCTTGCTGCCCGCGGCGCAGAGCTCCTCATCCCGCTCCATGCGGGACAGGATGTCGGGCTTGGACAGCGCGTAGTCTGCACACGGGACAGGGGAGCCACCAACGGGGCCAGCGGTTAGGAATATTCCAACGTTTTAGGCACCCTCTCCTTGCCCGGGCCCCGAGCGAGCAGACACACACGCAGGGATCCGGGCTGGGACAGGCACCCCGGGGTGGTGACTGCTTGGCCTCACTGCAGGATTCACACCCAGGGCGGCTGTAGCTCAAATACGGAGCAAATCCCAACAACGTAACGTGACGTGAAACCCCAGAGGACAGGAAGAGGCTCTGGCTTTGTTTAACCCCCCGTCTCAACCTCAGTAATGGTCTAAAGAGCCATTTGCTGTGGTTTCGTCAGCAGGCCTCATCCCCGGCCGCTGCAGCGCCAGGTTTGGGCTGGGATCACCCAGGACACGCCAGCCCTCCCTGGGAGCTCCGAGCAGGAACAAGCTGCTCTTCACCGAGGCAGGAGGGAACAGCCCTGTCCACAACCACAGAACAGCTCAGAACGGGTAGCTGGATACCGGATATTTGGAATAGCTCCCAGGACAGAGACCTCCTGGCAGCCTGGTCCACCGTTAAACCACCCTGCCAGCGTACAGGTGTTTTCCTGCATTCAGGAGGAATTTGCTGTGTTTCACTTTGTGCCTGTTGCCTGTCACTAGATACCACAAAGAGTCTGACTCCATCCTCTTTGCACCTTCCTATCGGACATTTATCAACACTGAAAAGATCCCTGTTACTTAAAATCAGGGCTAAAGGGACAGAAAACATGAACAAGACCATGGTGCTTCCATGGCCCTACAATCCACTTAGGCAGGCATCAGGAGCAGCACCTGCTGAGGATCTGGTTTGTAGCAGGTATCTTTAATATCACCATTGTTATCAGTATCTGTGGATAATAGATATCCATAGATCTGGATATGGATTATAATATGTATGGAGACTCTGGTGGAGACTGTTCATGGCTGAGGAGCAGGAAGGGGGTAACGAGGGTGCCCGGCTGCCCGGAAAGGCCCGGCCCCGACGCCGGAGCGCGCGGAGCCGCGCGGAGCAGCC